TCCTTGGCTCTTGAAACGATTGCTGAACGTTATCCCAGCCCTCTGTGGATTCATGTGTACACCGATGGGTCTGCTGAACTAACAACACACAATGGAGGGGCAGGTGCATACTCACAAGTGTTTCTATTTCGAAACCGGCCTTCAATTTCGACAGCAAAATAAGAAAAATTTTATTGGCACTGCAAACCTTGTAACACTAAGATGCTAAAAATCTCGTACTGTTTATGGTTTCAAAGGCGGCTATTCTCGCTGTGTCATAGCGAAATGACTCTTTTGCTCAGAATATTCTGAAGTGCCAAAAGATCATAGAGGAACTACTTCTTCGAGGAACAGAGGTATTCTTTCAGTGGATACCAAGTCACTGTGATCTTCATGGAAACGAAATGGCTGGTTAACTCGCCAAGGAAGGCTCCACACTGAACCATCCAGAAAATAGAATATCATATCATAGAGTCAAAAAAGAGATAAATAAGGCAAGTGAGGCTCTACTACTGGATTCAGTAGAGCTGTATTGTGGAAAAACAATGGAAAAAATGTTTAATGAAGCGGATCGAGTTCTCATGAACCTGCTGAGAAAGGAGGCTGTGGCAGAGTTCCAGATGATAACAGACCACGACTACCTTAGGAAGCACCTGCATGGAATAGGAGTTGCAGATCATTAATTAACAATATATCGGCCCTTTTTTTTCTTATCCACTCCCCTGATTTTCAGTAGGTACCAATATCCTAAACACTGATATATGGGCCTTGTGATCTTATTTAATCGAGATTATTAGAATTTAATCATTTTTTTTATTTTTTTTTTTATGTATTTCTTTGGTCCTACTTCTCCATAAGTTGAGCAGACATTCCAAAGACTTACTTTGCCGATATATTCGCCTCTTTCAGATTGAATTTTATTTTTATTGAGATAATAAATCTGTCAACCATTCATAAACGGATCAACATTGACATAGATTTCAGCAAAAATTGATATATCGGCTTTAAGACCTTATTTTATTGAGATTGATACACTAAAAAAATGTATTTAATTTTGTTTTCTGATCCTTCCCTTACCCTGATTTGAGCAGATTTCGATATTCCTATGACCAATATATCGACCTCACGACCTTATTTTATCAAAATTAGTAAAGTTTGATTTATTTTTTAAAATTTATTTATTTTCTTTTGTCCATCACTACCAAATTTTTCTGTCATCCTCTTGAACCGATATACCAGCCTTAAGACCTTATTTAACCAAGATTCTAAGAATTTCACTCTGAATATTATTTTCATTGCTAATAAATTGGCAAATCAATCGTCAACGGGTATGTATAATCATAATTTTGAGTAAAGACTGATATTTTGGCCTTATGATCTTATTTAGTCGAGATTATTAGAGTTAGATAATTTTTTTTTGTGTTTTTTTTTTTTGGTCGAATATTATTTTTATTGCTAATAAATGCGTCAATCAATCGTTAAGGGATCAACATAAACATAAATATGAGCAAAGATCAACATATCTGCCTTATAACCTTATGTTATTGAGATTGATAGTTTGGAAAATCTTTATTTAATTTTTTTTTTCTTCTTTCCCTCTCCTTCCCCTAATTTGGGCAAATACCGATATTCAAAGACCAATATATTGGCCTAATGACCTTATTTTATCGAGATTCTAAGAATTTTACTTTGAATATTATTTTAATTGCTAATAAATGCGCAAACCAATCGTCAACGGGTCTGCATAAGCATAAATTTGAGTAAAGACCAACATATCGGCCTTAAGACCTTATTTAATCGAGATTCAAAGAATTTCACCATGAATATTACTTTTTATTGCTAATAAAATCATCAATCAATTATCAAGGGATGAACATAAACATAAATATGAGTAAAGATCGATATATCAGACAGAAGAAAATATTAGTTATACATACTATACTATATACAAAATAAAATAAAAAAAATCTATATACAAAAAACTCTTGAAACCTTGCCAAGACACTTACAATTATTTTTAGATATATATATATAACTCTATTAATCTCAATGAAATTAAATCTTAAGGTCGATATATCAGTCTTTACTCACATTTATATTTATATCGATTCCATGGCAATTTATTAGCTCATTTATTATCAGTATAAATAATATTCCACGTGACTATGAATTATGATAACATAAAGTCAAAAGGGCGATATATCGGTCTGTACTCATATTTATGTTTATATCGATTCCACAGCGATCGATTGACCCATTTATTATCAGTATAAATAAATTCCATATGAAACTCTATGAATTATGATAAAATAAAGTCAAAAGGCCAATATATTGGTCCATGGGTTGGACCAAACAACATTTGAAAGAAGACAACACAAAATTTAAAAAAATCAAAATTGGTTGAGTTTGATATTTTTTTTTTTTTTAAATGAAGCTTAAGGCTAAGGCATAAGCTCAGCACCTGATATATGAGCTAATTTTATACAAATAGTTACGATTTCGTGTTCTTATGGCATAGGGAGAATTTTAACTCTGGCATCAATGCCTCGCCTTCCCCCCTGGCCCTGGAAAACGGCTTAAGGTCTAAAAAGCGAGGAATGGGTGGACCCTGAAAAAAAAAAAGAAGAAAAAAACCAGTTGTGAGGCCGATTTATCTCTCTTCGCTCAAATTTATGTATATGTCAATACCTTGGAAACTGATTGACACATATATTAGGAAAAGAAATAATATTTATTGCGTGTAAAACTCTATGAATCATGATAAAATTAGGTCGTAAAGCCAATATATCGATGTTTAGAATATTGGTATTTGCTCAAATTTTGGAGGGAGGAAGATAAAATAAATAATATAAATAAATTTTAAAAAATGCTCTAACTGTAATAATTTCGATAAAATGAAGTCATCAGGGCGATATATCGTTATGATTAATTGACACTTACATTCAGCAACTACGAGAATTTTCTATGCAATGTTCTGAACTAGACATATAGAAACGAATGACCGATATGCTGAAATATAAGTTTATATATCATTTTTGGTCAAAATTTGAGTAAAGGCCGATGCATATATGGTCTATTTATTCTTTTATTTAGCAGTAAGTAGGGTATTCCATGTGAAACTGTACAAATCTTGATGGAAAAGTGAAAAAAAGAGGAAAAAAATAAATAAATTTCTTTCGACCAACAATCTTTTAATGGTCAAAATTTATGTATAGAGCAATGCATAGATGGTTTATTTATTCTTTTATTTAGCAATAAGTAGGGTATTCCATGTGAAACTGTACAAATCTTGACGGAAAAGGGTAAAAAAGGCTATATAAATAAATTTCTTCAAACCAATATCTTTTATTGGTCAAAACTTGTGCATAGGCTGAAGTGTTGATGATCTATTTATACTTTTATTTAGCAATGAGTAGGGTATTCCATGTGAAATTGTACAAACTTTGACGGGAAAGCGAAAAAAAAGGCAATATATCGTCCACAACGGCCTTTAAAATATCGCCATCGGCCAAAATTTCGATATAGGTCGATCCCTAATTGCAACCTATGTAATTCGGGAGCACATATGGAAGCAGCGCATTTAGATGTATGCTCGTACTTGTTGAACATAAGAGATACCAAGTCGTCCAAAACAGAATGGTACTGGGCTGCAAGATCTCTGATGGCAGAAGCCGATAAAGAGAGGCATAATTAAAATTTAAAAAAATGTTTCAATATGGAGCTTTTTAAGGTAAGAAAAAAATAGGTAAAAACAAAGAAATATATAATACGAATCTCGCCGCCAGTGCCCTTTTTTTAGAAATAATATAATTTAAATTTTATGATTACTTACAGTTATTTTTATGATAATTTTCAATTATTTTGTATTTCAGAAAAGGGCAAATACCCAAAAAAACAAAGTGTTGCGGGATTGCCGCTCTCATTTTGCACTGCTATGTGCGGCCGGGAAGGCATATGTCCCGTTCATTACAAGTTGAATAAAAAGGTTAAAATGCATTTTTGAAAGCTATGATCTTGCAGGGTGACTCAAAATAGCATTTTAAACAAATTAATGCATAAAAAAAATCAATTTTTCTCGACGTCTTTTTGGATTCCAGGATGCACCATCAGAATGAGCTCCCGCAGTAAAAGGGTTAAATTAAAAATCACTTAAAGAGTCATTTTTTATTAAATAAAAATAAAAATGTTAAAATCGATGTTATAAAGAACAACTTTTGGTTTGCCGATTTTGACAACAAAGTTGCTGCAACATCTGAGGCATATACGTAACTAAAATACACAATACCAGTTTCTTACGACTTTTCGTTTTTGACCTAAACTGTTCACACACACCATTTTGCAGGACATGGTTATTTGGACTCAGGAGACCTCAACACGTGTATTTCCGTTGAAAAATCAGATGGGAAAATTTCCACGATCGCAATACTTTCCCTTACTATATAACATATATAGGTATGTGAAAGTAAAAAGGATATTAACATGTATTTCCTGTATGTAAATTCCAGTTTCACATTTATACGCATAGTATTATTGTTGGAGGAATAATAAAAGACATTCCAAATGTTTGCAATAGTAACACACACTCAACCCTTACACATAACATTGCAAAAGCAGAACAAAATAATACAACATACCCATTGCAGCAGGTATTTAACATTTTTATCACCTCTCAACATTAATAAACTCTTTGAAATCGGACAAACTTCCTAAAGGTGTAGCTCAAAACAACTATGTAAGGTTATACTGTATTGGATTGAATGCAATGATACCCTGATAAAGTGATATTTTACTACAAAGTGGTAACTATCTTATAGGAAACTTATATATTCCAAAAATAGTAACACAAAAAATGTAAAATGTTCGATTACATTAAAGAAATTTAATTTTCATGAGAAAAAATGTGGTTCCATTGAAAAATTCTTTGAAATATCATATCTTGACAACATATTGTGATATGTTACTAATCTAAACTTAAACTATCCATACATTTTCTTCAATAAAAGAAAAAAAATTATAATTACAGGAGAAGTGAAGTATGCTCCTCTTATTGCAGATGCAAGAAAAACAACAAAATATAACAGCTTTTGAGTTGTAATGCGGCATGCTTTCAGTATAGAGGGAGACTTCATCCTACAAAAAAAAAAATCTAGATAGTAAAGCCAGAAAATATCAATAAGTTTGGAGAAAATTGTTAATTTCATTTAACAATTAAATTAAAATATACCTCTGCCATTCTGCTATTATACTCATGATAAGTTGTACAAGGCAAATTAATGCAACTAGATAGAATATTGTGGCAAACACAGCAAAATAACTTGTGTTTGTGCTTCTGCATTCATCTCCAATGAATTGAATCTAGAAAAAAAGAATAGTAGAATAAAAATAATAAAAATAATCATACTAATAAAATTAGCGCTATTCATACCTCGCAATAACATGTGCCATTAAAGCATTCACCATGACCACTACAATTGTCTGCACACGAACCCATTATCTGCTTATGAAGAAACAGCTTAAGGCGCTTATTCCTTGAGCTTAGACTCATTATAGAGCTAAAACACAACAATCATAATACATCACGTAATCTAAATGAAGCTTTCATGAACATAAAAAAAAATTCACTTGATTATATTTCTGAGTAATGTATTTATGCATAGATCAATAGAAGTAACAAATGAACAATTTTATGGTAATCATCAATAATTTGTTTTAATTTTTCTTTTTAAAAAGATGGGAGAAGATTAAAACAAAATTCCAGAAATTTATAATGGCAATATAACAAATCTAGGAATGATTGAGACTTGTCTAAAAAGCGAGGAATGGGTGGACCCTGAAAAAAAAAAAAAGAAGAAAAAACCAGTTGTGAGGCCGATTTATCTCTCTTCGCTCAAATTTATGTATATGTCAATACCTTGGAAACTGATTGACACATATATTAGGAAAAGAAATAATATTTATTGCGTGTAAAACTCTATGAATCATGATAAAATTAGGTCGTAAAGCCAATATATCGATGTTTAGAATATCGGTATTTGCTCAAATTTTGGAGAGAGGAAGATAAAATAAATAATATAAATAAATTTTAAAAAATGCTCTAACTGTAATAATTTCGATAAAATGAAGTCATCAGGGCGATATATCGTTATGATTAATTGACACTTACATTCAGCAACTACGAGAACTTTCTATGCAATGTTCTGAACTAGACATATAGAAACGAATGACCGATATGCTGAAATATAAGTTTATATATCATTTATTGGTCAAAATTTGAGTACAGGCTGATAGATAGCCTCAATTAAAAGGGAAACTACAATAACTTAAAAAATCATTTAAAGTAAAGAAGCTATTTGGAATACTAGGAGTATAAATAGACTAGGTGTATGACAGCAATTACCAACACCATAAACTATAAAACTACTTATCAGATTTACCAAACAGTTTAAACAAACATACTAAATTCAGATAAATCAAAACAATAGTAAATCAATGAAATTACTTACCCTGAAGCTGGCAAGCCAGCCCAACAATAAACCTGGACAATAGACTTGGAATTTCGTGTTGCACTGGAAATAAATAGACAAAAAAAGGAAACATTTTTAAATAAAATAATAATAACTAAGAACAAAACCAAAGGACGCTAACTGAAAAAAAAAATGGAGAGAAATAAAAGAATAACGAATGTACCTGTATCAACAATCACATATGACAGTTGCCGCGCAGACGTATTGGGCTATCTCAATCGATCCATCCCTTCCACAAATGTAGTCGTTCTTTATAAATAACCGCTCCTTTTTGGATCAGCTCTTTTTGAAATGAGAGTACAAAAAGGGCTGCCATGATGGTTTTTCTCCCTAGATTTTGGTGTTTTTTTTTTCACTCGGGTTTTTGTTGTATCAGAAAGGTTTATGTGTAATATGATTGATAAATACAATTTTGTGGGTAATTTTTTTTTTCATGAATTCCTAAATACATTTTCTATATTTATCTGATTAGAAACTAAAAATTTGAATGAGAGGGAAAAGATTAGTATGATAAAACACCTTAATTTATTTGTATTTTAAATTCATTTATCTACTAAATATGTAGTTTAGTAAGCTATTCTTTCCTGCTTAGTACGACGAATGTAGTATCATACCAACAATAAAAGTATAAAATAACAGAATTATTAATAATAAACCATTTGCTTAAACCACATAAATTGCGTTATAAGACTTTCAAATTGAGACAATATAAAAATTGCATTTACTGTATTTTAAAAAAAATATACTGATCAAGCAATTTTTCTGATCATTAAGATGCGCTAATCTCATAAATGATACTGCATTCTTATTGAGCAGGGACAGTCATAAAAAAAATGTGCCCATGGCCAAATACCCTTTAGTCTGAAATAAAATTTAATAAATAAACCATTTGCTTCCCCCTGTGGGTACGGGATTACAGTAGACCCACAGTATTCACCGATTGTCGTAAAAGGCGACTAAAGGGACAACTGACCGTTGACCTCTTACCTTATCCTATCTTTCCTCCCTATAGCCCCCCTCATCCTAATCCTTTTATTCCTTGAATACCTATCCGCCACGGCCTTATGGGTGAGAACGAAAGTTCAGACGCTAAGGAAGTAAACCCTTATTAAAAATCCCCTCCCTTCAGGTTGGAGGTTGGGCATAGGGTTAACGCCCCTATCCCGGAAAAACACAATGTTACGAAACCACAGACAAAGAAAAGCCGGACGGATTTAATGGAGCGACCTAGGCGAGTCAAAGGAATTTCGAAGTCTTTAATGTTGGCGACGTGGAATGTTCGAGGAATAGCACAGGCTGGAACAAGCAAGAACTTGGAGGAGGTGTTGGAGAAGTACAAGGTGGATATAGCCGCACTGCAAGAAATAAAATGGGGAAAAACGGAGATAATGGACCTTAAGAAGTATACGATCATAAATAGTGGACACCAACGTAACTATCTGGGCACAGGTTTTATGATAAGGAAAAGTCTGAAGTATTTACTTTTGAACTTTAAAATTGTTAATGAAAGACTATGTGTGATCCGTTTAAAAGGAAGGTTCTTTAATACATCCATAACAAGTGTACATGCACCAATAGAGGATAGCGAGGATGACGACAAGGATAATTTTTATGATATCCTCTCCAGAGAATATGATTTGCTGTCTGGACATGACGTAAAAATAATTATGGGAGATATGAATGCCAAGGTCGGTAAAGAAGCGGCATTTAGACCCACAATTGGACCACACAGTAAACACGATGTGTCAAACGACAATGCGCTAAAAATTATCGATTTTGCCATGGAAAAGAACATGACAATTAGAAGCACACATTTTCCACACAAAGATATTCATAAAGAGAGTAGGGGAATGGACGATGAGTGGAGGAGAATTGAAAGCCCATTAAGGAGGACGGCGGAAGAGGTCCTGGGATTGAGACGATCTGCGGCAAGAAGTGAATGGTTTGATGAGGAGTGTCAGATGGCATTGAGGGAGAGGAATGAAGCAAGAATGAAGATGCTGCAGAGAAACACAAGGCAGATCAAGGAAGTCTATAACACAAAAAGAAGAGCTGCCAAGACTATTTGTAGGAAGAAGAAAAGAATGATGGAAAGGAGCAAAGTGGAAATTTTACAAACTGAACGGGAAACAAAACAGTCCAGAAAGTTTTACAAGGGGATCAGAGAATTTAAACATGGTTTCCAACCGAGGACAGGTTTTTGCAAAGATAGAGAAGGTAACATGGTGGGCGGAACTGCAGAGGTATTGGATACTTGGCGACAATATTTCCAGGAACTTCTGAATGGAGATGAAAACACAGTGAAGAATGTGCTGCATGGGCGTACACAAGAGGTATTGCTGAGTGGCGAAGATGAAGACGAAAAGTCCGGGAAATGATGGCATTGACGCTGAAATGTTGAAATATGGTGGAGAGGACCTGCTAAAGAAAGTATACAGCTTGTTGTTGGAGGTACGGATCGAAGAAAAAATGCCGAAAGAGTGGACGGTAGCTATTATCTGTCCAGTTTTCAAAAAAGGAGATAGAACGAAATGAGAAAATTATAGAGGTATATCTCTCCTGGGGGTAGTATAAAAGGCGTTTTCCTCACTCCTAAATAAAAAGTTACAAGTATGGTCCGAACGTATTCTTGGTGAGTATCAATGAGGTTTCAGGCCAAATAGATCTACGATTGACCTAATATTTTCCGTCAAACAGATGTTGGAAAAATGCAATGAATATAATGTAGATATTCATCATCTTTTCATTGACTTTAAACAAGCTTATGATAGTGTCAATAGAAGCGAGTTATTGAAAGCAATGGTCACTTTAGGTGTACCGAAAAAGTTAGTGAGATTAACAAGGATGACACTGACTGATAGTAGTTGCAAAGTTAAGATACAAGGAGCACTATCAGAAAAGTTTGCAGTTGAGGGCGGCCTAAGGCAGGGGACCCCTTGTCCCCAATTCTTTCCAGCCTAGCATTAGAATGTGCTGTACGTGCTATTCGGACAAGCCCTCATGGCACGATATATAATAGATTGTCACAGCATCTAGCCTATGCAGATGACGTGGTAATATCGGCTAGATCAAGAGCATCTTTATTGGGAGCATTTGAGGAGTTCGAAAACGCTGCGAAAAAGTTAGGCCTCCGTGTAAATGATGAAAAGACTGTATATATGAAGTCAGCAAGAAACCCACCAGAAAGAATGGAAGAAAGGATTAAATTTGGAAGCCACACCTTCAGGATAGCAAACCAGTTTAAATATTTGGGTGCTCTTGTCACATCAAAGAATGAACACCAAGAAGAAATTAAGGCAAGAGTAGCTGCTGGAAATAGGTGCTATTACGCTCTTCAAAAACCACTAAAATTTAGAGGCCTGACCTACAGAGCTAAGGTCATATTATATAAAACAGTCATTAGGCCAGTTGTATCCTATGGCTGTGAGACTTGGGTACTTTCCAAAGAGAGTGAAAGAATGTTAAAAGTTTGGGAAAGGAAAGTACTCAGAAGAATATGGACCTGTCTGCGAGAACGGCAACTGGAGAATAAGAAAGAATGAGGAACTGAAAGAAATGGTCCAAGAACCAGATCTGGTTTCTTTTGTTAGAAAGAATCAGCTGAGGTGGCTGGGACATGTAAAGCGGATGCCGACGAATAGGATACCAAAAAAATTACTGGATGGTAAGTCTGGAGGAGAAGGAGTTAGAGGACGTCCACGATTGAGATGGTCAGATGGAATGGAGAAAGTTTTGAGAGAGATGGGAATCAGAGGATGGAGGAGACTCGCCCAGGATAGGGAAGAGTGGAGCAGTATTGTAGAGGAGGCCCAGGCTCTTGTAGGGCTGTAGCGCCATGGAGTAAGTAAGTAAGTAAACCATTTGCTTAAACCACATAAATTGCGTTATAAGACTTTCAAATTGAGACAATATAAAAATTGCATTTACTGTATTTAAAAAAAAAATAGACTGATCAAGCCATTTTTCTGATCATTGATGCGCTAATCTTATAAATGATACTGCATTCTTATTGAGCAGAACAGTCATAAAAAAAATATGCCCATGGCCAAATACCCTTAAGTCTGAAATAAAGTGATGGGACTGAATCAAAATATTCAACAATTATAAATATGAATAGCCAGGACCGGTTGTAAATTTTGGACCCTTTAAATTTCAAATTATTTGCCGACCCTCTTCTTGCAATCGGGACAATCTTTCTGAAGAAAATAATCTAATTATTGTAATCAATCAAAATTGGATCAGAGTTTGTTGATTTATTTTCTCTTTTCACAAGACACGAATTACCGACCACTTTAATTATATCCATGATCCCTATGTTTGCTTATATCATCACTATCATCGTCAAAAAGGAATAAATCTTCAAACCTATTCTTAACTTCCATCTCAAATGGAACACACACACACAAATATATATATATATATATATATATATATATATATATATATATATATATATATATATATATATATGTAGCTTAATATATGTGCTAGTGGACGGTGCTGAGACTGTCGGTATGTCCCTGGCCTGATCGAAGCTCTATTTTTTAAAATTCTAGCTTTGAAGTGGATCCCATCGTTGACTTATAAAAAGAAAATACCGGGATCGAAACGTCAATAAACATAGAAGAAATGAACATTCAATAGTTTATTAAATAGTTAATAAGTGACCTTATTCCCAATTAAATAGTTAAGTTTAAATTTAATACTCAAAGGTCGATTAAGGAAAAGTTGTAAATATATTATATTAATAGATTTTTTTTTTCTATTGGTATTTCAGAATGTTGATCTCTTGCACCTTTGACCAGTCTTCTCCATCTTTGCCAATCTTTGGCTATTTCTTTTTAGTTTTCTGCTTCCAGCTGTATGTTGATATTTCTTCTCCATGTGTTAGTACTGTGATCCCAGAACGCTCTGGTTATCGTGCGGACGGTTTTTCTATAAAATATTTCAATATATTTTTTTTTTTAAGGTGCTAGTTTGTGTCCAGGTCTCACAGCTATAAATTAGAACTGGATTTATCATAGCATTGCACACCCTTAATTGGAAATTTCTTGAGATTTTTCAGGATTTTAATACCTTTTATTCATATAATTTTTTATTGTTATTTATTTAATGAAGTTTACAACTGCATACAAAATACAACCACTAAAAATACACACATTAAAAATAAAGACATGAACATACTTGAAGAGATACTGCGCAGTGGTTGCACTCCCTATTTAATTCTAGGTAAGAAGATCACGAGTCCA